CCAATAACACTCGAGAGCCTTTTACACTCTGTTCAAGCTGAGAAACGACTGATGGCGTGAAAAATAAGTTTAACTTGCCAACAGTTTCTGTTCAGGCAAACCAATGCAGTTTGTCACGACAGTTGGAACAAAAACACCGCGAGATCCCAGATATTAAAGTATGTGTTCTGTTCACTACGCGGTCTGAGTGCTCCCCCGATGGGATGGCCGTTCGAACATTGAGAATGAGTCATACGGACAGCAGTTGATTTTGAAGCAGACCACAGCCTCCATGCCATGACACTTGGGAGCAAGGCATCACGGAATCCCACGCGTGCACATGTGCACAGAGCACTAATACCGCCTTCAATGACAACACTACAATATCCCGAACAAGCAACAATGAAGAGGTGCCATTGGCGGCATCCCGAAACAGTCCCAAAGACGAAAAAAGTCTATCTGTGCTGTTAGATGAAATTATTCAGATTCTAGAGAAGGATTTGGAAGAGAGAGGCGAGATGTGCAGTGATTTGCGACGACGCATGCTTGAGGAAGTTGAAGTGAGGCAGCAGTCTCCAGGGGTCATGCCGCCTGCTTCCCGTGGGACAACTCTGACAGATGCAGCAGGAGAACGTGAAGTAGAGGGAGACAGTGCGGATGGGCTACTTGCCAATTATTCGGTCGACTCACGCCTGAGTGACGAGGAGGCCTTCTTGAGAGAATTCGAAAAATTTGATAAGAGCATGAACATGATGAAAACGTGCACTGTGGAGCCACAGAGGTGGGTGGCGTCTACATCGTATTTTTCGGCTGTCCGCAATCAAGAAGAAGCTACAAAGGCCGTTCTACCGTATGGGAATAAATTTTGGATTGTTTGCGGACCGGACACACTGAAAGTCTTCAAGAATCCAAAGGATCAGCGCATAGAGTCAATCGTGCGTACCAGTGGATGCCGCATAACTTTGAGAGAAAACAGGCGGAAAAACGCACTGGGCCAAATGCAACAACTGGTGGTTGTTGCATCCGCAACCGAGACGGGGTTGAGGAAGTGCACGAATTTGTTGGATGAGAAATTTCCTGCGTTCAGGGCCAGATCGGGTTGCTTGAACTGTAAGTTGGACTTTTGATGATCTTTGCTCTCACTTGCATGTACGCATGCCAGTAGGACAAGTTTTCCAGAGACGTCTGTCCTCAGATTCTGTTTTCAGAGTCGAGTAGTCCTTGCGAGGAGCTCCGGGAGTCCGTAAATAGAAATGGGCAACCACGCAATAATCAGTCGTCTGTCGCGCCATTATCATGGCAGATTAGGTAGAACAAGGAATTCTCTTTGCATTATGCGTTCTGGTTGCTAAGACGGACATCTCAACGGCGAGGACGCTTTTTGCATTCCTTCTCTTACGTTGGGCATGCTGCATTGTCATTTACGAATTCGGCTGTGAAATCTGCTTTTTGCGCACTCAAGTGCGTCTCAGATTGAACAGATTGCAATTATGGACTTTCTACACGTTCAAGTTTTAGTTGTTGTACACACGCCACAAGTAGCCACCCTATTTGTTGCTGTTTTTCCATCTTTGATGGTGGACTCCTACAGGAGCACGAAAGCTCAGAATAAAATACGATTCGTTGCGGTGTTTGATCATATGTCATCTTTACCGATTGTCATGAGTATCGATGGCCCATAATTGGTCAACAGTACGTACGCGCGCTTGAGCACTGTAGTACTCCGTACTACTCGTGGTCTTGATGAGTCTGGTGCGTGATT